GTAGCATAGGCTTATTCTAATAGAGGCTGGGTTTGATTAGTTCAGTCTATAAAAAAACAAGATCTCATTGAGCCTATCACTTCATCTATAACTATTCAGAAGTTCTCATCAAAGCACTTTGAATTTCACCCCAGATTTCAGCACTGATCAAACACATGATTTGTCCTATCATTCTAACTTCACTGTGTTTTAGCTCTTTGCCGCTCATATTTTTATGTAGACAAAGCCTTTTTGGCTTTTTGCCACTTACTGCAAGTCTAGGTTGAGTGCCAACAGCAGCAATACACTTAGTGACAGCAAATGTCTTTAATTCAAGTAAGTTTGCTAGTGCCTGGTGTCAACAGCATAAAATAAGGAACATAATGCTCTATCATCCCAAAGTAGCATTTTCAAATTAATCTTTTATCCTTAATGCCCAGTTAAGGAACAAGATGAGAAAAACAATGTTAATCCTATGTGTTTTTATCCTCATACCAAACACTGATTTGAATCAGTTGTTCAAAATCCCACACATTCTCAGACAAATATTCAAGAAGTGCTCATATAAATAATGCACAAGTGAGCTGTTTGTCTCTTAAACAACTAACAGAAAATGTTTTAAAATGTAATAAAGCACAGCTTGTACTTGCATAGGTATTAAATACATACATACATACATACATACATACATATATATATAATACATAACTATAAAAATAATTTAGTGTAAACCCTGAACTGGGTTACCTGCTGTATCCATATATTTGCAAAGCAATTTTCCTAGTGATAAGGATATGAAGTTTTTCTTTCTCTTCTACAGCAGTATCATAGAATCATGTAATAGTTTGAGTTTGAAGCGTCCTTTTAAAGACTATCTAGTCAAAATTCTCTGCAATGAGCTGGGACATTCTCAATTAGAGCAGGTTACTAAGAAACTTATTGACCCTGAGCTGGAATGTTTACAGGAATGGGAATATAAAAACTGTACTGTCAATAATGGGATTATACTATAGTACCTAACAGTAATACAATCATACTAGTATTGTGACTGCAGTGCTCAATAAAAAGTAATAAATTTGGGATGAATATAAGATTGGGTTTTCCTCTCTGTTTATGTCACCCAGCACTTCATGATTAACAAGCTGAACAGCAAACATCTCAAACTACAGCTGCTCCATACCACTATAATGTTGAAACATGATGTTATCCTTTTGCTATAGTAAATGATGAAATTGTCTTGTTCCTCAATTATCCCACTTCCAGTGATTTCATTGCTCCTTGAAATTCCTCTCCAGCCCCTTCAGCTTATGCCTGCTACCCTGCGTGGGTTGATTTCTAGGCTGCATGCATCTGACAGAGACATCAGAACTTGGTGCTCATCTGGAATGCACCCTTCCTTCTTTCAACACCATCTCGTACTTCACTGCCAGATCTCAGGAACTCCTTTTGTGCTTGTGTAATAGGACCAATCATATTACCATACAGCTGATCTCTTGCCTGACTGAATTTATTAGAGATGTCTCAGGGCATTTGACTTCTTTACACACTGTTTTCACTTCTTTGACTTCTCCAGAACCCTTGAGTCACTAATTCTGTCTTTAAAACTTCTAGTTTTATTTCTTGTCCAACTTCTCCTGGTTGTTTAGGCTTCCCATAACTTCCTGGCAGTGCTCAGGATCGATTTGCATGGTCCACACACTCTGCATAGAATTTCTTTGGCATGACTCTTTATTTATCTCATACATTGTTGTCTCTATGTTACCTCAGGTACTGCCTTTGCAGAGCTCTCTTTTCTCTTATCCAGATAACATCAGGTTTGATTTGCACTTGGTTCTTTTTTGTTTTAATTTTACCATAATTTTCTCCACAACTAATTCAGTTTAGCTAAATGTTTGCTCTAGCTGTGTTTGTCTTCATGAGGGAAATATATGTTGTCAGCAGCCAGATCTGTATCAGCATTGGGAACTCATCCAATTAAAAGCTTACAACAATTGACATAGGCTGAAGTAGATTTCACAAACTGAAAGCTACAGCTTACCTGTGTAAACATTCTTGCCCTACTGCAGAGGCGTCAACTGTGTTTAAGAACTGGCACTGGACATTTAAAAAGATAATATCAGTAGTAAAAGAAATACTGCATGTTACTGGCACAGTGTTCAGTTTAATAGAGACAGCAAAATGTCACATAATTAGTTACTGTATTTGTGGAGTTCAGAGAAAATGTTTCAACAAAGGCCTGTAGCAAAATGTTTTCCCTTTTTCAACTTCATTTTAAACAGTCCTTAAACTCCTGGCTGTTTTCCAACTATTGTCTGTTCAGTAACAGAGAAAAAAGCTTTGATATAATGGAAAACAGCATTAACAGGTTAACTTTCAACTTCGACTTGAACTTCTTAAATGACTGATTAACTTACTTCTTACAGTTTATAGAAGAAATGAGGGTTGTAAACAGGACTGCTTACTTCTTTCTTATCACTTAAGTATCTGTTTAATTTATTCATCACTCACACACTAACTCTCTAGAAACCAATGCAGGGTGAAGTGCTTGTGACCATGAATTCCACAGTCATGCACTAGAAAACAATCAAGATAAAGGCCAAGAAACCACTAAGGCCTCCTTAAACCATGAAAGCGTAGTCTACAGTTCAAGTGGTGTCTGCAGGCACTTTCCACTAAAGTAAGCAGCCTTCAGTGTCCCACCAGCATAACAGTCATGAGTTTGTACTGGATGGGACCTTGGTAGGAAATGACCAAAGACTGAGAAGGAGAAGACACTTAGGAGTTTGTATTGCAGTTTATCTACAAATAGAAATGTGAAAACCCTTCCTATGGAAATAGCATGATAACAGCTTTAAAAGAGCAAGGTCTGACTGAGAAGGCACCTCTGCCTTAGATCCAGGTCGCTAAGAAACAGACAGGTAGCCTTGTCCTCCTGAGCCTGGGTAGATCCTCACAGGCTATGTTGATAAGGCACACTGCTGTGAATAGAGAAAAAAGAGGAGTAGGGAGGGATGAGAGAGTGTTTGCTACAGTCATCCTTGCTTTGCCAGTCCAAGTCAGTAGCTTCTGAGTTTGGGGGTTTTTTTGGTGGTTCTGTTTGGTTGGTTTGGTTTTTTGGTTTTGGGGTTTTTTTTTGTCAGTCACCACACTCAGGGAAAGTCCAGAACTAGACCTGAACTTAGCATCAGATATAAAACACTTCTTTGAGCTCCTCTGCGTGCTCAGCCAACATTACTGTCAGTCAGAGGATTTAAAAAAGAAAAAAGATACCTGATGAAAGGTCTTCTCAGTACTCTGTGTGAATTATTATAATCTTTGATAAACAAAAAAGCAAACCCAAAACCATCTTTTTGTATGGTAGATATAGAACAAAAAATAATCTCAACTCTCAGGAATCAGCTTCAAAGCTGGATCCATTTCTGTATTCTCCTCTATGCCCTTTCAAAGTTAGTGAAAATATATATGAAAGATTACATGAAGTTTGACCCCTAACATAAGAAAAATGGTACTACATTTTTTAACAGCAATGCAAAATTGCTTCCTTCCTGTGTAATATTGTCCTCAACGTTAAAACCTGGTATATTATAATGACAGCATGTGGCAAACCCACTTTCCATGTCTTTCAAGTTGTCTGTGTTAACAAAAAAAAATTCTATTCACTCTAAATATGTGGGATGTGAGCCTACTAACTAGTCTGAAAAGAAATTCCTTCTTGTAGTGTCATTTTCTGATCTGTACAATCATCCTTTCGGGTCCTCCTCAGTGCTGAGCCTAAGGCTGGTTAAAGTGGAAGTACCAGATGATGGTTCGCCAGGACAGTCTCAGCAAAACTCCTCTTGCTCTTTACATGGAATGTTAATGATGTTTTAGCACCTTTGTTTAACCCTTCCATGAGTTATGAAAAGTCTACAGAAAAAATCCAATGCCAGTGTTCAGTGTGTCATTTTATCACAGCTGTAGCAGGGAGAATCAATACTAGAAGTACCCAAAGGAAAAAATATAGACCACATTGTCAAAAGTAAAGGTGTACACTCAATAGTCAGGGTAATTTCATGTCACCAATGGCATACACTAGCACCAGAGAGAAAAGGAGTTTGCTCCTTCTTTAGGGAGGAGGCCAAAAGTACAGGAAAGGTATAAATACAGCTGGAAGTTGAAATTTTAAAAGAGTAAAGACTGAACAAATCTGCAAAATGGTGTGTGTCCCATACCAGTAATGATTGTATACTCAGGAATTGAATTAGAATAGCTGTTTCAGTGTGGTGCTGTCAGTGCCTGCTACTCTAAAGATGACATTTTAGTAAGTCAGTTGCATAATTTGAGGTTTCTTCATGACATGAGGTTGCAGGAGTTCAGTCAGTGATGGGACAGATGTTTCTGTGCCACGTATTTCATGCAGAGTGTAAGAAGCAGTACATTTTCTACCATGAACAAGTGAAAAGTCTCAGTGGGGGCTGCATGAGGCTCATTCTGCTGACAGTTGCAGCTGCATCACCGCTCAGGGACTTGTTGTGTCTATTGTTGCTCTAGATTCGCTGTTCTACAAATACACCCACAGACACTACCTCCTCCAGTTTTAGAGCTGCTTGCATGGTGGCTGGTTATGCCTGAATTAATTTCACAGCCTTTCAATGAGTTATTTTTCAAGTGTTGTGTGATCCTCCTAAAATGTGGTAATCCGTAAATAGCGCTGTACCGTTTGGACTCTGGACCTATTTTGCTAGACGGAATGGTTGTAAGTTTCCAATTAACTGAAAATTAAGCATTAACTGGAATACTTTAAATGAAAAAAAAAATGAAAACAATTAATTTTTACAATTAGAAATTAGTAAGTAAGTACTAGTAATTAGCTCCTATAAAGTTGTACCTTGACTTTCCTTCTACACATTTGTAATGCCTAGGGCCTTTCTTAAATCACTCAAGTGTGACAATTTCTTTCAGCCACATTAACTTTCTGTAGCAAGTGGTACTGAACTTGTTCAAGTATAATTTGCTTATGTTATGCCTTTTTGCTTACACACGTGACTAAAGTGCTTTTCCCTCCACACAGTGGCATTAGTAAGATCCCTGGTTTACAGAGAAACATGCTGGGAATACAGATTATAGCTTTCATATTTTGTTTCTGTGGGCTGGGAGCTGCTATTGCTGCTACTGCATCAAATGAGTGGAAAGTCACTAGTCGAGCATCATCTGTTATCACTGCAACCTGGGTCTTCCAGGGTCTTTGGATGAACTGTGCTGGCAACGCACTGGGGGCTTTTCACTGCAGACCTCACCTTACTATCTTCAAAGTAGAAGGTAAGGAGCATAATTTAACTGGAACTTACGGAAAGCCACATGTATTGCAAGTTGTGAGCCTGAGGAGTAAAAGATTATTTTGGCTTGTGCAAGGGATTATGTTTAAAGAATTGTGATGAATATAAATAAACAATCTTGTAAGCAGAATATCAGAAACAACTTTGTAGGAATGATACGTATTCCAAGAAAGAAAGTAAGCTCTACTCTGTGGTTGGTAATATGTGATAAGTATACTGGACATAGTGCCAGCAATAACTGTCAGTATCAAACCACTGTTAGCAGAGAAATGGACTAAACTGTCTTGCAGCTCTATTTTCCATCCCAAAAGGAGCATTGTGCTTGCTGGATGGTGAGAGGGGGTAAGATAGCAAGGTCTGTAACAGCTATCAGTGCTCTGAAAAAATCAGAGAGCAAATAACCACATCCACAAATATGTGCATGCTGTGCAAATACATATTAGGAATTAAGTGTTAGTATACCTGCTTGTATAGCAGGCTAGTATTTTGACTTTAAAGATAAAAGGTGTGCTGTTTCAGAATGTCCACTTTAATGGAAAGTGTTGGATTAGTAAGTCATCTATCAGAGTGTGAGAAGGAACGAAGGCTTCTTGCCTTATGTCAGAAACAGCTTTTCTCAGAGACAGGGACTAACTATTAGTGTACCATGAAATGTGGTTTGTGTTTCTCTCTATGTGTAAAGCAGTAAATTAAGAGGTTTGGTTTTATTTGCTGTTAAGCCTTGTGATAGTAAGCAAAATACTGTTATCAGTTAAACTGTGTGTATGCACTCATGAGGGCCTTGGCAGAAGGACTGCTCTCCCTGGGGTAGACAGCACACAGGCAAGATGGAGTCAGACTACAGTAGGAAAAAATGCATTAAAACACAATTGTTTAAGGGAACCAGAAAATAAACCCAGGCTAGACAGAACCAGTCTCCCAAAGCTTTTACAAGACCAGAAAGAAGTACAGTTCTGTTAAGATATGAACAGCCAGTGGCTGTATGAAATATCAAATATAACAATACATGGTTGTTGCCATATATATATATATATGTTTATATTACATAGATAGGGTCATAGACGCACACATATATAGAAACTTGGAAGCTTGGGGATGTTCCATATCCTGATCTTTTTTGGCATTCATGCCCCTGACACATCAGACTATGTGCTGATACATATGCTGCACATACAGATCAACTCTTGCACATACAGATGATTTTGAGATAAAACTTGGCATAATTTCTCTACATATTTCATGATGCCCTGTTTCAAATCATCACAAATCACCCATGAGAGATGTGAATGGATAAGAAGAGTTTTATTTCCTCTAAAGAATGTTGTTCATCATCAAAAATCACTTAAAAGGCACAGAAACTCACACATATTTTTGAAAAGTGACTATTATATTTTGCAAATAACAATTTGTGCATTATTTCTGCCAAGATTTAAAGAAAGAAAACTACCTCTTCTTCTCAGACATTGTTTAAAGCAATGTAAAATAACTAGAAAGTACCATTATTTCTATTGTTAGTAGCACAAAATCTGCTTTCAGAATAATCTGATGTTTGCCACTTCATATTATTTTCATCACTGGATGATTGAAATTTGAATAAACAGAAAATGCATATTATGCATGCATTGTTTAAATATATATTTAAGCATTTGGGTAAGATTTCACATGTTAGATAGATAAGAAATTCACAAATGAAAGTAGCACAGTCTTGTTCATGTAAGAAAGTAACAAGCTGCTGTAATGACATTTAGTAAGTCTAATTTTAACTTGCCAGTGCATGCACCAGCAAAGGGTAATGTTACATGTAGCACAAACACTACTGGGAAAGAGTGAGGTATTCAGTATGGAAAACCTGCTAAACATAAACTACTGATAATCCAAGGAAAGCAAGAGTTCAACAGGGAAAGGGCTTTGCACTCTCACTCCTCTCACTCTGTCATGGATTGTAAAACAATAAAATGCTCACATTTAAGAAGTTATGAACCCTCTGTCCTCAGAGCTTCAATATATCATTATAACTTACATACTGAGGCCAATGAGGCCTGGCAATATAACTTTTCTTCTGCACGTTCATCTTTTTATGGAATCTATTTGCAATTTTTCCCAAGACAACTTACACAAGTTCCTCATTCCATTCCTATCTTTCCATTTTCAGGTTACCCTACAGAAAATATTAGCAATATCAGCAAGAGTAGTAGCAACAGTATTCAGTGAGTGTAGTAAGTCACTTCTACTCCAAAGAAGATTAATTTGATCATTCAATGTTTAATTGCAATTTTTGTGAGGATTTTGCAGAGGAAGTTTTTTTTTTTCTGTTTTTTTTTTTCGTGGTTTTTTTTTTTTCTATGAAGTTTTAAGGGGTTTTCTTGGGTGGTTTTTTTTCTGTTTTTCACAGCAAACAAAAACCCCTCAGATTCCAGAGGCCTTTCTCTGAGCATGATTACCCTGCAGTCACAGGCAGTATGTAGATATTTACCAGAATCAGCTCAAGGACTAGTGGTGCTGACAGGAACATAGGCAAGGCAATGAGAACTCAGCTTCTGCAACTCAGCCCAGGTACAGATGTTGAGGGGTTCATGTTTCTGGAAGTCTGGGTCAGCAGGACCACACTGCCAACAGTATCCAAAGCTAACTGGGCTTGTACATTGCTGTCAAATGTACACGTGCATTCACATGTCCAGCCATGGTGTGCTCTGCCGCAGTGACTGAAACATTCAGATGAAAGATTTTAGAGGGAGATCCTGAATAGTGACAGCCTTGTAGCTAGAGTAATTCAAGGCAATGTTTGTGGGAAGAAGCAATATCTTTTATTAAATCAACTGCTTTGGGAGACGTATGCAACAAAATAATCCATCAGATCTGACACAAATACAACAAGCTTCAAGCTAAATATTATCTGGGAACATTGTCTCTTCAGTAAACTTGGTTGTGATTATCAGAGCATCAGATACACCCATGGAAATTGTATGACTAAAAGCATTACTCACAAACATAAACTCACACAGTCAATAAATGCCACAAATTAAAACTAGCAGCAAGACAACATTTTTTTTCAAAAAGAGTAACCTTTGATTAACCACTCAGTCCTTATCAGCAAGAAAGATACATAAAGACTCTTCAAAGCATGAGCCTGAGAACTGAAGCTCTGGAGTCATGAGCTTCAGAAAGATACTGACTTTTTATGGCAGTTTCCATCCAGCTTGCCTTCTGCTAACTCCCCAGCGCTCCTGCAGTTCTACTGCAGGCAGTAGTTAACCACTTTTGTCATTCTTCTCATGTATATAATTCTGAATTATTACAATGACAGAATTTACCAGATTTGGCAAGAACTATCTTTTAGCTATCAAGCATGGCTTAGACACTTTATTTAGGTATTTTGACTTTGGTGGTGTTACAGACAGCTGTTTCATTCACATAAAATAAAGAATTGTAGCTAGCCAGTTGAGCTGTGTCTACATCTGTTTTCTGTGACACTTCTTTACTCTGTCAGGACAGCTACTAGGCTTCTTCAAACAATTTGTTTAGCATTTTGCGTGACCTACCTACGGCACTGCTTCATGACATGGTTTTCCATACCATGAGCTCAGGGAGACATACAAGAAACTAGGAGAAACCGCTTCCTTGAACTTTTGGTTTTTTGAGGCTCAGATCTCCTGCTGGCGTCTTTTCAGTGCCTTTTGTCAGTGCCTTGTCAGTTTTGGCAGAGCCTGATTGGGCAAATAGTGCTATCCTGATGGTAGCCAATATGGAACACGCCATGCCCAGCTGTTCTGGGTCACATCAGCAAACCGATTCAGAGCTGCCTTTTTATGATACCACCACTGCAATGCAGACAAGCAGCAGAAGGAAATTTATACAAGACAACTGCTATTGCAGCACATGTACCCAGAACAGCCTCGAATAGTCAAACACCATTTGTGTTCATCAGTGTGTAGAGAGCAGCTCTAGCTGGGCTTCAGGGTAACACTAGCAACTTTTCCAGAGAATTCAACCTCTGGAGCAGGAAAGGACTGACATGAGAGTGTCCCTTGCTTGACAGAAACTTACTGCCAGGGAAAGCACACTATGCATCTCTTTGGTGCGAGTCAACAATCCAGCCAGGTACACACACGGCAGCCAAGGCCAGGCTTTTCCTCAGCCTTAGAGGAGGGCATTTAGTGCTAAATCTCCCAGAAGCCAACACCACGGTTTTACACCCGTCCTGACTGGGTTTGCAGGGGGTCAGGTGCGTGAGTGCTGGGGACGGGGAGGGCGCTCCTCCTGCCTGCTGCTTGGCAGATGGCCGTGCCCTGCCCGCTGCCGCTGCCCGCCGCGGTCCCGCTGGGGCCGGCGGGAGCGCTCCTCTCTCCATGGTGCTGCAGGAGCGGCCCCGGCAAGCGCCCGCCGTGCCCGCGGGTGGTACCGCCCGCCCGCCTGGGGACAAGCAGCTGCCCAGCTCCCTGGAAAGGCGGCGTGCCTCGCTTCCCCCGGGGGATAGCCACAGGAGAGGAGAGGTTTAGCTGTACCCAGAGCCCGGGCAAGCAGCAGCTGTGTGCGCTTCTGGCGGGTCACAAAGGAAGGGGCCGGGCCGTCAGCTCGGGGTGGTGGGCTTCAGCTGTCATCAGGAAGGGAGAAATCCACCGGGACGGATTTCTTCTGGCTGATGGTCAGCCACGGGGGACTCTGCCGGAGAATCCTCTAGGCAGTCAAAAGGACAGAGTCACGGGAATCGTGGTTTAACCCCGGCTGGTAAGTGTGCAGCTGGCCACTCACCCCCCAAACACGCTCAGTGGGATGGGGAGGAGAATCAGGAAAAGAGTTCTTACCTCACCCGTAGGCTGAGGTAAAAACAGTTTAATAATTGAAATAAAACAAAATATAACAATAATAATAGTAAAATCACTAACAGTAATAATAATAGGAAAAAGAGAGAGGAATAAAACCCAAGACAAAGAAGTGATGCACAGTATAAATGCCCACCACCCACTGACCGATGCCCAGCTCATCTCTGAGCAGCAATCAGCCCCTTACAGACAATGCACCCCACAGTTTATATGCTGAACATGATAGTCTGTGGTATGGAAAGTCCCTTTGGCTATTTTGGATCAACTCTGTTTTCTCCCAGCTTCTTGTGCACTTCCTCACTGGCAAAGCATGGGAAACAGAAAAGCCCTTGACTTAGGATAAACACTACTTAGCCACAACTAAAACATCAAGGGGTTATCAACATTATTTTCATTCTGAATACAGAACACAGCACAGTACCAGGTACTAGGGAAAAAAAGTAGCTCTATCCAAGCCAAAACCAGAACACAGGATCAAATAACTCTGGAGGATAGCTGTGCCGAAGAACTTTCCTGTAGCAAGCAAATCCTTCTAGGAAAAGTGCAAAGTGAAGGGAGGTATGACTGATCCATGTTCATTAGGCTGAGCCACCCCTCTGATAAACTTTTGTGTTCAATGAGTACAACATCCATGTGGTGACTTAGAAAATTCAAGTCAAAACAGTACTGGCAGAGTTGTGTCAATATGCAAGGAAATATACACTAGGATCGATAGCTCAAATTTGGGAAAGGTGACTATGAAACATTGACAGAATTCCTCTCAGACTTTTATTAATGGCTTCATTCCCATGGCTTATCTTCTTAAAGTACTCTCCATTTTTCAGCAGGCAGAGGATCACCATTTGGACTGACTGAAATGCTGATTTCAGCATGGGATCTTTTGTACATGCATAGGAATACGATATCAAATCTTGGTAACAAAAGGTTCTCCACTGTTACAGTTTCCATCTCCATTGTAGCCAAGTTATTTCCAAGCTCTACTCTTCTGACATTAGATGACTGAGTCTGCTCTCCCCTCAAACAATATACCTGAAATACATTTGGTCCCTAGAGGAGTCTGCTAATGCACTAGAAATCATGAAACATCATGACAATATACAGCAAATACCTTTGGAATCTCTTACATTGCATATCATTGCCCCCACGCCTAAAATTCATGAATAAAGTAAATTAAACAGTTCAGCCTAGGTAGCAGTTAGTTGGAGACATATCGTGCCTTATTATTAGGCTGGTTTCAAGTTAGAAAAGGAATGGATTCATGTGCAGCAGAGCCATTCACAAAGTAGCCTCTGGCAGAACAGATATGAACTGAAGGAGGTGGCTAACTCCCATGTATCCAAGATATTTTTCCCACAGGGAGCTCCTGCAGCAGCTTTGTAGTAGATACAGAGCAAAATCCAGGGGTTTCAATGGGATGGTAAGTTCCAGAAGAACCCCCCCAGGGGCAGAACAACCCTGTGAAAACTGGATTTGTGGATCTCAGAGCTGACATATAGGTTAAAGATTCTGAAGTGGTTTTCAAGGATTCCTGCTGCTGAATATCATCTTCTGTTTGCGCTCTTTGATTCCAAGATTTTAATCTATCTGCTCTGAAAATCCATGAATCAAAACCACAATGAATCACTGTTTACTGCTGTTTATTGTGCAGGCTTTCTGGCTCTGGCCAATTACATGAACTAGAGTAGTCCAGAGCTGAGGGCAGACTGGAAAGAGATATGCCTACTGGGGAATCTGCAGCCAGAAAGATACAGAAAGAGAGTCCAAAAACTGCAGGGCTAATCTGCACGGGGCCAGATGGAAAACAGTGAGGGTGGAGCCTTCAGAGGCTGCTGCCAGTGATAGAGAATGTGGCTGCAGGTTACAAAGGGCAGATTCTGACACTGCTTTAAAATCTTCAGAGTTACAGGAAAACACAAGACCTTGCAGACCAGTCCTCCTTTTTAGCTCATTTACACCTGGCTGACTTGACAGCATCTCTGCAATCCTCTTTTTGTGCTCTGAGCCTTCTCACTGGACAAGGACAAGGACAGAGGTTACAGTGCTGAGATTTTTTCCACTTTTGTCTAGATGTGGTATCTAGACAAGAGTAATGTTGCTTTTGCTTATCTTCACTCATTTTTACAGATCTTTGCCACCCAGAGAGGTCTTCATTTGAAGAAAATCACTAAGGAAACCTGAAAGGTAGAAAGTGCTTCTATTTGTTAGTGTGGTGCAAGGACAGGAATGCAAAGCTTGTTATTGGGGCATTAATAACAAAGCTCTTTCATCTTCTGATACTCACATCAGGATAGATTGTTATCTCTGCTTTGCTTTTAGTTTTCTTTGATTACGGCTACATAGCAGCAGAGAGTGTACTGCAAAATGAATAGGACTCAGCAGTAATTGGTATGCAGCCAGTGTCTTAAAATATCTCTGTTCAAACAGGTTTTGTACCCTGGTCTGCCTTGTGAGCACTGAGGTGGGTGAGGGGAGCTTCCCTCTGGCATATGTTGAGGCCAATGTACCTCTTCTTATCTTTTTAGCAGTCATGCTACAACCAGAGCTACATTCAAAGTTCAGAGATACAATCCATTTCATTTTCACAAGTCCCTGCAGCAGGAGGGGAAAGGAGACCTGGCAAAACCAGCTGAGATAGGCAGAGGGTAAGAGAACGAGACTGAAGTGCTGAATTTGTAAATCATTAAAGCTGATGATTTTGAAATTCACACTGCTGAGATTTAAGCTCTTAAATATTTATTTTTCCATCATGGAGCAGTGCAAGGCAGAGGAGAGAAGCTAAGCAAATACCTTGAGAATGAATATGGGGAAATGTAGGGGGAAATACATGCACATAAAAACCTCTCCTACAGTTATTATATGAAATTGGCTAGGCAAGTAAGAGTCACATGTACATTGGCAGAGAAAACAAATCACTTCACAGTCAGTAGGGATATTAAATCCCCTAATGCACATGTTACCCTATCTCTCATAGTAATTACATGTAGTTTTACAATGTAAAGCAAAATGCCCCATGAGCACAGCTATTTTATTAGAGATGTGCACATGGGACTCCTCCCCATATCCCACATGCATCAAGTCCTACAGTGTCTGGTTTTCCTTATAAGCCTTCCCTGGAGTGGGTGCCATGGATCTTTGCTGGTTCAGAGGCTGGTCAGTGTATTCCCTTTGGTTTTTCATTGACTCAAATTAAATCAAATTCTTGGAGCAGAGGTGTTGCAAGGGGCAACTCAGGGCTTCAGAGCTCCACTTTTTCAGGGTAGTTGACTCAGTCCTGGTGCCAGTACTGTGAGGGCCCTGGTGTCCAGTAGATACCCATAATCCACCCAATCTTCTATCTACAGATGACATTGAAGCCTGGCTCTCCTCTATGATGTTTCTCTTCAGGGATGCATTTCCTAAAACAGGAGAGAGCACATCAACTCAGATTTCTGTGCCTTAATGTAGGACATTCTTAACTGCCAGAGCACTTCTCAGCTGCTGAAAGGAAAATATTTATATTTTTAATTCAGCAAAGCGCATGCTGCAATTCAGGTACATGCAAAGTCACCTGAGAACATTTCATTCATATCTCCCCTTAAATAGCTTGTGCTGGCCACCCAGACATTTGCCACCTACATTTCTAAAAAATTACCTGAAACAGTTAAAAAAGCAGAGGTACTGAACAGTTCTGAAGACAACGCCCAAGTCTACTGACACATTCATTTGACAGTTTGGTTTCTTTTTTAGTGTTAACTTTTCTAAAGAAAATGTATGTTAATTTGAAGGTAATTAACCAAAGCTCTAGTAAAACACCTCCTGAGAATTAACCTGCATAAAGGCAAAATTTTTAAACTGCACATCCTGAGCTATCTTGTACTATTGAACAGTTTTCTGTAACCGAGGCTTACATGTGGTAGAAGTGTAAACTGTTTAAACAGTTTAAAACAGTTTAAAATGGTACACCATCAACTGGATATGTCATTAATATTATTTTATGAGTATTTTAGGTTAGACTCCAAGTTTTTACTTCTAGCTGCCCCCCCCCCAAAAAGTTAATCATACAGACTCTACTGGAGTTTGAAAGAGTACAATTGCATAACCTGATGGTAAAAATGAGAAGCAAAATTAAATACTTGAAGATTCTCATTCATGTGTTTTCAGAATAATACATGCAGGTTTTCTACCAGGTCCACTCTAACAATTTTTATGGTTGCTATTACTTTTGTATCTAGTTAAGATGTGAGGCTTCTCTTCTGCAGATACCAGTCAGAAACAAAGATGTGTCTAGGGCTCATATTCAGGGCAATGCACACTCAATCATATTTCCAAAGGCAACGAGAGCTCTGCAGTCCTAAATTTCCTCTGTAGATGGAAATCTGCCAAAATCTTATGTTGTTTGGAGACTGCCTTTTCCTTCTTCACAAATGAATTTCTAAACAATAACACAGAATGCCACATAAAAGCCTTTCTATTCATATTTCATCCTGTAAGCAGCAAAAGCAGAAACCAAACCCCAGCCAGTCAGAAACAGTGAAAGTGACTCTCTGCCCATATCTGTGTTTATTGGGCCACCAGGAGAACAGGATTCTCGGGATACATAAACAACTTTTCCATTGCAAGCTCACCACGTGCCCAAGCTGCTGCCCCAGGCTGGCATCCCATCCTAGCAAACATCGTGCCAGATGCTGGGCCCTGAGTCAGCCACCTTTTGGTAGTAGCAGAAATAGTAATCTCACAAAGTGGGGAAAAGAGGTAATTTAATTAACTAACTAACTAATCATTAATGGCATCTGGCTTTTCCATATCATATTTTTAATGGAAATGCTCCACCTAACAAAGCAGATGATAAAATATATTCCAGCAAAATTAATGCAATAGACATCTTTAATTTACACCACCTTTCAACATCCTCATATTTTTGTTTTACTCAGTGGCTATTACAAAATCTCCAATATTGTGCTCACTTAATATCGTCCCTAGAAACTCAGTTCTTCACGGAAATGCAGCGTTTTCAAGCGTCAGTGCCCCTTGTGCCTCAAGGCTCCGATTCCCCCCACGGCCGGGGCACCCTGCAGTGCCACAGCCGTACTTTGGCCTGGCCTTCTCCGAGCGCGCAGCCACCCCCAGCCCATGGCTCAGCTAATCCTTCCGAGCAGTGAAGCTGCCCTGCCGTCCTGCTGGTGCTGGCCCCTCTTGAGGGGCTGTGCTGGGCAGAGCAGGGTCGGAGGCAGGAGGAGATGGCAGCCGAAGCCAGCAGGCTGCAGTGTGTGAGGGCTGCCGAGGGTGCGGGAATGGCTGCACAGTGTGGGGCAGGCCTTCCCCGCGCTCCCCTCGGCACGCACGGAGCAGAACTCTGCGTGTTAACACAAACAAGCCAACATTTCCAGCCGAGGTACTTCACTCAAGTCTGTTTGCCAAGTGGCTTCGCTACCTTCTTTGGTTAAGGTTAAGAGAAATGTTGTTGTTCAAAGGAGAAAACAAGTGGAGGTGTTTTCCCCCCTCACCCTTCCTGTCTACAAATTCAAGCACCTCTGGTCTGCAGTTCCTTATAAACAAATGAAGGAGCTTTTGTGGAGACTGTTGATAAGAGTGCTCCGCACCACTCCACATCCCACCGACATTCATTATTCTTTTTATGTATGCAATAATATGCAAATGTCCGAGTGCTTCCTAAGGTCACTCACTACTCTGCAGTGCAGTGTTTGCTCTGGTTACTGCAGGGACCTAAGGGCAAGCTCAAGGCAGCCTAGGACAGGAAAGGTTGTCAGGGCCAGCTGATAAGATTTTCACCTATCAGCAAGGTGTGCAAAAATCAGATACAACCTGGTGAAAGAAGAGTCACGGAGATGGGAATGGCTTTCTCCTGGGAAGAGATTGCCAGGAGATAAAACGCCTGCAGACAAGGAAAACAAGTCTGATGTACAACAGCTGGGTCATGGAGTAGGAAGAAAACTCCTGAAAAAATACAGGGACTGCAGCCATCCCAAACACATCAGACCATTGGGAAAGCAGAAAATGAGCTTGCAAGGTGCCTGAACATAATGGTGACAAATTTGCCACCACTTTTAGCACAAGAGGCACTGGACCAAATTTCTCAGTTTCAGCAAAGTCTACCCGCTCAACTGGGAGAAATTAAATATTTCCAAATTTTCTAGCATTTTAAGCAACAGAATGAGTGAGAACTCTTATCTAAGGACTTTGAGTGCTTTCAGCCACCTGTTCTTTACAGTTTTGAACCTTGGATAGTATCAAAAATCTGTATCTAGCAACAGAAGTCTATGTTATGCCCCCTTGCTCATACACACTCACAGCACATGGTTATAGCTCTTCATGATGAAGGGAAAGCACTGCTGAACAAGGGACAGGAACTAGGAAGCAAAGAAATGTATTTAAGACCAGCAAAACTCCTGAGAAGATCTTTAAAAGAAGAAGGAATGGGAGCAGGAAAAGTCTGCTCCCAACCAAGATTTATTTTTATTATGCATGAGTCATTCAAAGTGGATTTAAAGCCAGAAATTTTTTCACTGGCATGCTCACTTTACTCAGTAAGTGAAAGAAATAACATTACTTCAGGGTCTGAAGTTCACTGGGTTGCATCTGATTTCACTCACTTCTACCAACAGCAATATTTTTGAAATGGATTTATTTCTTTCTGTTTTCCTTTTCTCTCAACATCCTTGCAGCCTTACTGTCTCCTTCATGCTACCAGCAGAGACAGATCAGTGCTATGTCTGACCTGGTATTTGCTTAGGTAATCTTAAATTTTTATAATCTATCCTCTCCTTTGCCTCAAAACATCTACCTTCTGCTTTCCAAATTACTTCCTGGAAACTCAGCGGAACAAGAATTCTCTCAAGCTTCTTGTCAGCTGTGGGGGCTGTGTAGATGGACTAGCAGGGATCAATCCAATATCCGGAATCCTCTCAGCTGAAACTAGTTAATGCATATAGATTTTACTGTTTCACAAAAGAAAAAACAAACAAGGAGGACTTTTCAAATTCGTTTGTCTGTAAGATGTGAGATGGCTTCTGTTTGACGCAAGCAAAGCCTCTGCTGCTGTTGTGTGTCCACTTTGGGTACTACACTTGAAGCATGATGCAGAAGACTTGGAAAGAGCACACAGATAAAAGCAACTAGAAACCCTCAAGTTTATGGAACAGGTCTATGAGGAAAGACTGTGAGAGTTGACACTGTTTAGTCTAAAGAAGAGTAGACTAGCTGTAGGCACAGAGATAGTCTTTAAATATGTAATAAGTGGTTGAAAACAGGAAGAGTATAATCAGTTCCCCATGTCCAGTGGTAATACTGCAGGAAATGGTGAGACTGGATTGTTACAAAGAATTTAAAATTAGCAGTTTTATCATTCCATCCTAAAAGCAACTGCCCTTTTTTACGGACAGCCGGCCTCTAACCCTTAGATTACTTTTCCTACTCTGCAGTTCTTTCACTTTGTGATTACCTCTGATATCTATGATATCTGTGATACCTGAATCAGCTCAGCCTTACACTCCAGTCCTAGCTGCCAGAAGTGAAATACACCTCTTCATGTCCTCACCTCTTGTCTCTCTGGGACTCCCCTTGCAACCTGTTAAGGTGGAAAGCCATTATTCGGAAAATACAATTTATACAGCAGGTAATGCCCACTTGCCAATAGCTTGTGAACTACAAAGATCTTTTAGTGAACTTTTGATCTGCAAAGGCTAGTTGGTATTAAAGGATCTCTTGCACCTTTTTTAAAAGTATTTACTACTTTTATTATTTTTAATTTGGAGTGGGTGTTTTGCCCTGTGTGTGCAGAGCATTGAGCTCTATGAAACATTTGATGCCCGTGATTTGGCCTAGGTGTTGCTAAGAAATCTACAGTCCTAAACAAAGGCAGCAAACTCATATTCATCCTATTTCACTTCTCCATGATGTTTTTACTGTCAAACAATATTCTCCTAGCATATCTGAAAGAGTGCAAAACAGAAGGGGGGCCCAGGGGGCAGAGAAAGACATTATAGACTCCTTGAAGTACTCAATCTATAAGGATATAAAGCTATTAAGGATAATATTATCCTCCTTCTATCACACAGAAGAGTCTTGGATGGTGTGGGTCCTACAGTTCTGCTCTCTTCCTGCCTGGGAGATGTTATCCTTGGTCATCAGGCACCTGAGTCTGGATATAGATGAGGTTTTAAAATTCCAGCACTGGATCTTAAGCAGAGGTTTAGTATTTATCTCAGACCACTTTAGACATGAGTGGTGTAAAACATTGTGTGTTAGTTAATCATCCTGTGGTCACTTTATAGGCAACAGGAACAGGGAATCCTGTCCCTTTCTGGGACAGGTTCTGTCTTATCTCTGGGACATGTCTACAGCAGGTCAGAGGAGCAGTCTAGACATGCCAATTAACAGTATAGCAGATGGATGATTAGTGAAGGTATGGACATACTATGAATCTATCCTGACTCAGAAGATACCTCCAGGTGGATCCCCATACCTCAGATCAGATGGATGTAATTCCTATAACTTTCAATCCAAACATGAGAGCACACGGAAAGCAGTTTCCTTCTCTCCTTCTGCAGCTAATTTTCCCATACTTCACATCTCTCCTCTCTCCTAGTCTGTGCCTGAAGGGAGCAACACTTCCACCAAAAGCTGCTGCAGGGGCAAAGTGCTGCAGCCTTTAAATTGTCGCCTCAGATCAAGGAGTCCCTCTTCATCCCACATCATTCAGTCTTCACTGAATAGACTTTTACCCCACCAGGACTCAGACTGTCCCTGGTGTGACAAGCGTTGTCACCCCCTCCTTCCACACAGCCCAGGTGCCCCGCTGAAATGCATGTTCTTCTTCAGCTGTAGTGTGGTGATGGGTGTGAGTATGGAAAACAAGTCTCTGATAGGCATTTGCTGAGAGCCGACATCTCACTCATGCAAGAGGTAAAGCCAGCTACTTCAAAAACAGCCTGCCATGTATTCCTTTCATCAAGCTTTTGCATAAAACCTGCTCCGTGTGCTCATGTGTGCACACAAATTCAAGTTGTCCCTTGTTTCTCTTGTTAAAGATGCTTCACTTCTTGAAAGGTCCTCCACGAATCCCAGACTGGTGGAGAAGTAGTTAAAGTGGGCAAAAAGGCTAATCAAGAGGAAAGGTTGGTTAAACTCAGTTTTGAAGGCAGCTCTTAGGAATCAATGGACATTTTCATGAAGTGTTTAATAGAGTGAACTGAAGCTCTACAAACCCTTTCCAAAGGAGCCCTTTGTTGAGATGTTGGCAGCATATGTCTGGCTGGAGTCAAATAAATTAGTCATCAGATAAATCAGTCATGCCAGCTATGAGAGTGACACCAAAATAAACAGAATATTTTAGTCAAATCTGTGAAACAAAAGGAACAGCAAATCTCAATTTAAACTTCCCCCATGTAATTGATGCATAATTAAACTTCTAAACATGAATGCAAGTGTGCTGATCCAGGGTGTGTGATGATGAAGATTGTATCTTTGAAAGTAAATGGGGATCTCCGGATGCAATTAAAAGTAATTTTTGAGTTGCTAGTTCCAAGTTCCTACTGGCAAAGTCCAAGAAATGTAAAGCCTGAGTAATTCCTAAATTACTGCAGTTTCAATGCCAGGGAAACTCCACAGATTTTGATGGAATTACATAAGACTCAGACTTCATGAGGCCAACAGAACTTCCTCCTTTTAGAAACAGATTGTCAAGTGCTTTAAAAAGAAAATGTCAGAAAAAGTTTATGGAAATCACATGCTACTGGTACAAGAACAAAATTTGGGGAATGTGCAGCATATGGCAACATCAGTTGGCATAAGGTAACACAAGTGCATTACCCCAAACATGTAATCTTAAGTAATCTACCTTACTAGTCTAAAATACACAAACAGTCTGAACTCTTAAATTTTTATTGTCTTAAAATACAGACAAAATAATAACAGTGATGTTCCTATTAGTCCACTTATCCTTATGATTAGCTCATATATTAATCATTATTGTAAAATGAAATATTTTTTAAAAGCTACTTCTTTTACCTCTGTCCTTGCACCACTCCTCTGAATGCCTGTTAATCTGGTCAAGGACTCAGGTCCTGGAAGGGAAAAAGCAGGGCATGTGAAAAACTAGCAGTGCAAGTGAACAGCAGCATGTGGGAGAGAAGCACTGCTTTTAATTGGATTAAGGAAGTTAAAAATGTTGTGAGAAAGCTTTTCTTATCTACTTAGTGCTTGTTTCCCAATAGCTGCTATTTCAGCCCAAAATATTACACTTTGGGTGCTTAATGTCAAATAAGTAAGCAGATTAACTGGCCTCCAATTCTCATGGGCTTCAGATGTCTGCACTGAGATCTGGCAATGTGACCAAAAGTAGTTCTTAAGTTTGGCTTCTTTTTTACAGTAGTTCATATACTATTGAATTCCATATCTAGGTATTAATTCCAGCAATAAAGTTTCATTCTTTATCTCGAGGAATAAAACTGTATTTGCATTGGAAAGTCTGTGCCACTTTCAATTTTACTATAAACCACTGAGATTTTAGAACTGACAAGGACTGGAAGGAAAATATAGCTCTGTAGGGTGCTTAGGACATTTGTGAATCTGATTCTGCTTCCTGAGATATTTTTGCTGCTCAGCTGTCATCTATATTCACACATTTGGGGCAGCGCATCTCCCTGATGCAGTGCTCCACAAAGGAACCGACCAGAGGCATTGTGCTCTATTTGCACTTATCAGGAACCACTGAAACCTGAACAAAAGCTGATTGCCGATTATTGGCTTCTAGGAGTATGTCCTGTAACTGGCACTATGCAAACACAAAGCACAAAGCAGCTCTGTCCTGGAGTATTTATAATCTAGGGAGCAAACTTCAAAAGAAGTGGGTAGGTTTATGGCAAAGTGGAGGAGGAGAAAGGAGGTAGAAGACAATCAAGCTTGTTTGATTATGCTGCTTCACAAAAAAACAAAAGAAAAAATTCTTCTGGATTGGTGGGGTTTGGAGGGTCCTTTTCCTCCAGGGTACTGTGAGTTACTCCACCAGTCACTGCTACATTTCTTGACTTGGAATAATTTCTGTCAAAATCAAGAAGGTACAGTGCCCCACCTATCCACTTGAAATGCTTTATAGTTTATAGTTCCTTGTCATCTTGAAGGATGAAAATGTCCAGTCTGCACTCAGAGGTGAGGCAGAAGCCAGAACACTTCATCACAGCCAGACTACAGAAAAGGAAAACTGACAGCAGCAGCTGGGGGGGCTTGGTGAACCCACTTTTCTCCAGTGCCCATGGGACATTAGTGGAATGAGTCCAGAGGAGGGCCACTAGGTTGATCAGAAAGCTGAAGCACCTCTCCTATGAAGACTGGATGAAACAGCTGGGGTTGTTCACCCTGGAGAAGGGAAGGCACCAGGGAGGCCTTACAGGAGCTTTCCAGTACCTGAAGTAGGCCTACAGGAGAACTGGAGAGGAACTTTTCACAAGAGCATGCAGTGATAGTAAGAACAGGAAAGGCTTTAAGCTGATGGAGGACAGGTTTAGAGAGATTTAAGGAAGAAGAAACTCTACTGTGAGTTTCTTGAGGAGAGGACATTGACCAACAGAGATCTTCTGTGAGAAAGATGTCTTTAAACTATTCAAATAACAAATCCAAGGTTGAGAAGAATATGTGTAGGGGACATTTTTGTAACTGCAATAAAAATCAATGTCTTGATCATACAGATTCTCAGTAACCATCACAAAGGCAAAAAGTCTCAGTGAAGGAGACTTGTCATGCTGTCCATTCCAAAATAATTCAGGAGGTTATCAGTTGATATAGCTGAGGAAGTAATAAAGATAGTTGTCCTCATCAATAATGTGCTCTTAATTACATATTTTGAAACCTCTGTAGCATAAACCAATTTGGATTTCCTCCTTTGGTACACTTTATGCATCTCACACTGTTCTTTTATCTTTTATTTATTTTGGAAAATATGTTTTGACATAGACAAAGGTCTGGTCTTAATTATCTGACTAGGAATTAGATGGGTTGGCCACTTATCCAAGCTTCTGTTTTATACTTAGGAAGAAACTGATTATTTATTTGAGTTTGCCTTTCTATTAATAATTAATTTATAGAACCACAGAATTATTGAGGTTGGAAAAGTACTGTACGATCATCAAGTCAAATCTTCAGCTTTTATCATCATCCATTACATGTATGTGACAGAAGCTCTCATATAGCCAGTTAGAGCAGAAACTAGGGTCCAAGAAACAACTATTAGGGGAAGAACTTTCTGTAAATACATCAAGAATTGGCCTGCTGGCAAGATTAATAAGTTTGATGTGGTACTCCAGGATAAATATTCCTGAAAATTTGATTTGGGGATCCACAAATTACTGTCCACACAGAAAATAAAACTTTTCTCACCTGCAGAGAAAAATGAGAGGGAAGTGTCACTTTACCCAGGCACAGGTGTTCTTTCTCCTGTTCCCCTTGCTGTTTATGCTGGCATGATCAACTGGACTTTATTTGAAAAGAGGAAAGGTTTTACAGTGGATAATCCTTTTTGTCCTTGAAATGCCTAAGAACACTTCTGTTTATCTGTGTTTTTTTCCTGTGGATTTATTCCTATTTCTAGAGATTCAAAAGTTCACTGGTAAAAAGCTGAAATCATATTATTAGGATATTTTGTCCAATTATGACTAACACATGTAAGAGTATACAAACCTGGTAAGGTTTCCACAACATATAAAATGTTATGAAAGTTTT